CTCTACCCCGACATAGGAAAAACAATATAAAACAAATATAAAAATATCACACTTAATTACATATATCTTAAATATAGATAATTCGGAAAAAAACAACCTAAAATCATCATACTTAAGTACATATATCTTAAATATACATAAAAAAAAATGATGTGACAAAAAAGACATTTTGTATCTTTATATATTTATCAAAAATTAAAATAATTATTAAAAGTTACAAAATAATGGATAGTTTGTCAGAGGAGACTCGGTGATGAATATGAATAGTTAATTATAAGGATAATATACAACATAATTAATATTAATAATCAAGGAGTCTAGCTTAATCAGTAGAGTAAGTGAAGTGAATTATTATGAACTATCTTGGTACTAATTCAATCTTTATGAAAAAATAAATAAATAAAGGGGGCGAAAAGGTGTTTGTCATCCTAGACCGAGAGGAATGAGTAATGAACATAACTTTGATGCCATTGGTTGGTTTTCAGACTCAATATTTTTGAACATTTGTACCTAGTATGGTTCTTTTGTATCACACGAATTAAGTGGTTCTTTTGATGTCTAAATTAACAAAGCACAATTAAATGTGATACCTGTGATTTTTGTTTTTCTTAGGGTAGGAAAAGGGCAATGAAGATACTGAAAAACATGCTGGAGGAAAGACGGAAAGTACCTAGGAAACAACAAATGGATTTTTTTGATCATGTTCTTGAAGAACTTACGAAAGAGGGAACTCTCCTCACTGAAGGGATAGCTCTGGACCTCATGTTTGTGCTCCTCTTTGCAAGCTATGAAACCACTTCTCTGGCTATCAGTTATGGCATAAAAGCACTCTCTGACAATCCCTTGGTGCTCAAGCAATTACAAGTACAATAAGCATCACTATAAGAAAAATTAAAATTAGTGAAACAATAATTCACGTTTCATTTTTGCAACTGTAGAAATAATGCACTCGTTATTCTGGCTTGTAGGAAGAACATGAAGCCATCATCAAACGACGTGAAGATCCTAACTCCGGAGTCACCTGGCAAGAATACAAATCAATGACATTTACACATCAGGTTGGTCAACAATTTCTTCATTTGTTTTTTCTTTTGCTTCTGAACGAGACAAATTGTTTTTTATTTATTATGTGTACATATTTTATTTAAAAGTCCATGAATAATTGCAGTTCATAAATGAAACCATCAGACTGGCAAATATATATAGCTCCAGGAATCTTCCGGAAGGCACTAAAGGATATTAATTATGGGGGTATGTGATCCTTGATTAATTAGATCAAATATCATCAGTTTCTTACTGGTCCCTCCCAATAAACATTCGCCTATGTGTGGTCTTATAAGTATTAAAAAAATTTAAAAATATTTTAACTATAATTCATGTTTATTATGATATTTTCTATAAAATTAATTTAAAATTTATAATTAAAATTATTTAAATATTTTACACAATTATAATAATCAAGTTATTTCAATTTAAAAATTAAAGTTAAATGTTAATATATTTGAATTCCACATACAGACAAATAAAAGTTAATAAACTAAAATAATTTAATTTCATAAGTCTAGACAAAAATTAATATATTTCTGTATTTGTTATAAAAGGAAGAAAAAATAGAGAGAAGAAATGAGATAGTATGAGATAGAGAAAAGAATCTGACTGGTGTATTATCTTT